GCTACATGTTGAAGTGTGAGAGAGCTGATTTATAAAATTTTGTTCTTGTTTGCAGTTGGCTGGAGCCATAATTGGCAAAGGCGGTGCGCGAATCAGAAAAATCAGGTCCGACAGTGGTGCCGGAATAACTATAGATGAGCCACTGCCTGGCAGTAACGATCGTATCATTACTATTACCGGGATTCCCAGTCAGATACAAATGGCCCAGTACCTGCTACAGCAGAGGTAATTATTACGACGTATGTTCTTATTATATACTTAATGCTAAACATAGGCATTCGCTTTTCATTTCATATTAACATTAAACGCTATCCTTATATTATATTGGCAAAACTTGAAATCAAACATTTACTGTCAAATAACGCTGCTAAATAAAAATGAGAGAATACATTATGAGGTATCGATATTTAACACATTTAAACGTATACCGTCCTTCTAATTACGTGATAAAAACTGCGATATAAAAGTTTATGATAAATGATATTGTAATACATATTGTTATGCGTCGCTATTTCGCTATGATTTTGCGAAACTTTGCACACAATTTTTGATAATAATAAAGAAAATATTGTTAAAATAAAATCGAAGAAAAGGAACAGAATCCACGTATATAATTATCTTGAATCTCGACAAATATAAATAATTTAAAAAAATATAATTAGTCTGTGAATGATATACGTCGTGATATTCAAACTCTTCGATTTTATATGGCGTGTCCGATCGGAGTACTCTCCTCTGCCGTTCTCGCACGATTCTTCGTACTTCATCCGCTCGCTTATAACCGGCATTGCCGTCATCGGGTCATCTCATCTCACCTCTAGGAACTAACACAATCCGATTAACCAAACGAACTGAGGCGAATGTAACAAACTTGCAATGGTGGAGGAGGAATCGAGACGGAGAGAAACGAACGAAGAAAGGAGAACGACGCGCTAGAGAGTCTCTAGCCCAGCATGAGGGAAAATGGAGCACCGTTGTATGGAAGACTAGTGATTTTGTTGTTCTACTTTCGATGTAACAAGGAATCACTAATCATCCTACAAAGGCGCTTACGAACGTCGCCTCCCCCGAGATCTGCTTTCGGAACTAACATCATCCCCGCTACGCCTCGTTTGCTCATCGACGCGCCGTAATTTCGCTCGACTAAAAGTAGCGCCTTTTATAACAAATGTGCTTATATAATTATCGAGTAGTGGCTATGAAGAAGTGATGTATAACACTTTATTCACGTCCGAACCATCCCGGTTTTCTGATAACTTAACATAATTAATTTCCATTCTTGACGTATATTAATATGATTGAAACTTCGAGCACTATTATCACTACGTCATTATTCGCTGTATGTTTATAGTATCGAGATCGCATCGCTCAGATATCATTAAATTAAGGCTTTTCATATCAATATTGTTTAATCTCAACTTGCGCAACGCGTGAGATGCTTGCATTCTTGTCTTTTGCATTTTTATTTAATCGTCTATGAAAACATCTTCAGAAAATAGCTCTTAGGGAAAAAAAATTCTAGAAATTAATATATCAGAAAAAAGAAATATATGCTACGTATATATCATTCTAATTCCTTCATCTTTCTTCCTATTCTTTCAAATTCTGATCTTCTCGTCGGCCTTCGACTAAACGAAAATTTCGTTACTTTTTCTGTTTCAGCGTACACGAGAATGCAGATCATTACTAAGCCATGGGTGCATTCGGGGGAGGGGGAGCCAAAGATGCGTTTTTTTGTAATTTTTTTTTAGAAATATTTCTTGGGTAAACATGTAAACGCTGAGAAAGTGGAAACTGAAACAAGTACACATGCTGACGTGCACCCACGGAAACAATTTCCGGCAGAGCGCTGTGCGCAGGAGGATGATCTGTAGAATTTATACATATACAAATACACCACACGTGAATCACCCTCTCCCAGGAAGAGAAACGCTTAATGGTCTATGCTAACGTGACCTTGATGTAGCGAGATACTATTCTCAAGGATGGTAGCCGCCCATCGCAGCCTGCAAAGTAAATTGATCTACGAATCGAGTACCGCTAACATTTTCGATGTCGGCCTTTTTTTTAGTATAGAACTCTCTTATTGATATCGTGTCCGAGGCACATACACATACCCTGTCGATGTGACAGCGGGAGGGGTTTCAAACTGGCGAGCAATCGCATCGTGTTCCCCGATGTTAGCATTCCCGAGAAAACGTATTTATCGCTTGAAAGAGAAATCCAAAGAATGATCCCTTCTCTACTGTAATAGCGCGAGCTTTTACGTCGAGACATCGTATCTCCCTCTTTTTCTCTCTTTTTTTTTTTTTTTAAATTATCGTTAGATCTTGTTCCCTTTCATCCGATGGAATTAACGTTTTAATTTCGAACTATATAGTGTGTCAACGAATAATCGAGACGCTGGCGCGAAACAGCCAATTTGAAACCGTTTATACGCGTAAGCGACTCCTGAGCATCGAAACTTGACAACGCACACTTTTTTCCCCTTACGTTTTTTTCCAGCTTTTTGATAAATTTTTTACAAACTTTAATCTTCTCTATTGAAATGTATGAGTAAATGCACATAGAGTGAATGCGAGGGCAACAGTGTCGAAAGAGCGAAGAGATTCGATCGAGACAGCGACGAAGAACGAGAGAGAAAGAGAGAGAGAAAAAAAGATTTCACACTAGGCAAATATATTTGCAAGAGAAAAGAAGTAACAAAAATATATCGCGAAAAAAAACTGTACATAAGATCCACTAACATCCTTTCCCCTTCCTTAATTGCCGCATACACCGTTTCTCTGCTGTTGCATTATTATATATTATTGTAGTTACTATATATTGATTATTATTATCATACAATTTATTGATAAGGATATCTTTTACGTTATTATATCCCACCCTAAATCTGTACTAATTATACCTTTATCTATAGGGGATGCATAAACTGCGTTCTTAGTGTTATAATTAGTAAAAGTAATTAGGCTTAACGAAGAGACATGTAAGAGTAAATATAAGGGGGCACCATCGGCGAAAAGGAAACCAAACGGTTTAGGGGACAATGAAATCGATAGTGAATCTGCAACGAAGTCTGTTGTGTATTAGTTGTATAATATATTTCGGTAAAAAATGATGTTATCATGTCCGAATTACTTTCTGACGATGACTCAAATGAAGCATATTTTTCAGTTTGTTACTCATTCGCCTCTATAGTTATTTTTCTATTATATATTGTACAGAGAACGCCTCTCTTACACGAGAGAACGTGAGATGTAGATTATCGAAACGAAGCCACGACGCTGTTGCCGTTAATTATATTGCAGCTAGGGATCCTTTATCACGATCACCCTCGTCAATATGTGTAAAATCTTCGATTCGAAACTTCACACCAAGATATGACAACTACAGTCTCAAAAGTAACATACGCCGAATTCGACGTATAACATGACCTGTAAATACATACTTTTAACGTAGCAATAGCACTATCTTGTGAAACGCAACTCTGCTCGAGCGATTGTATTTTTTAACAAATAGCGGCCGTATAGGTAATTTTTTCCAAGTGCAATTAAATTGTACTAAAAAAGCGTTATATACTGCAGCCGTTCGAGCGATCGTGATTGAAGAACCGCCCCGGAGAATAATGAATTTAATTCTCGAAGAGTTATGATTATCATGACGCATGCCGGACTGTATAACCCTTGACCTTGATAAAAGAAGCTATGGTCAATCTAACGTTATGATCGCCGTTTCTAGTTTTCCCGTTACCGATGGCCGACCCCGCGTTAATTCATAATATCACCCTTTCCTCTCTCTCCTTGAATCCCTGAATACATTTAATCTGATCAGTAGTCCAGTCATTACTCCTTCCCCTCCCTCCCCCCCCCCCTTTCCTTCCCTTCTTTTACCGGGGTACCTACAAAAGGGCATTTTTAAGCATCTTGACTGCATACTGTCCGTTATAGATGACAGCGTACCGACCGCTAAACACGTGATTCGTCACGTGCGGATGTAAATCTGTGCGTGCGATGAGTCTTACATAGATTTAAAAATGTCCCATATTTTTTACAGCAACGGATTTCGATCGACTGTTCACAGAAGAAACTGCTGCGATTTTTCACAATGAGATTTCCTTATTTTTTTATAATAGTTATTTTTTAGTTCGTACACTGTATCATTGTTCATATTCGGGTTCAGAATACCGAGAAAGAGAGAGAGAGAGAGAGATCTGAATTTTTTTTCTCCTCTGAAACGCGTTGTGTTACATTATGTATTTATTTTGTATTCTTTGGAGAGTTAGATTGACTAATATTAATCATTTTAATGATTTCAATGCAGAAGAAAAAACGTCAGGATTATCGATCTGTGAACAGTTTTGCGGAATCGCCTCGGTCCGCCAAAGTTTACATAGGAATCTTTTTTTTCAGCGAATCTTTTTTTTTTTGGAAATTTAGACAGGCGTGCGACCCCGTAAACGAGAGAAACTGAATCAAAATTGTCCCGCGTGAAGCTTCGTCCGCGTGTATGCATTTTTCTTTTAACACACTTGTTAGATGTAATCCGTTTCACACTATACGACGAGAGAGGCACGTAAGCACGCGTGTGTGTGTGCGAATGTAACGCGAGAGAGTGCATGTCCGAGAGCATGGAGGAAATATATTAATGCCAGATATATATATATAAATCGATTATTACAGAGAGAAAGAGAATCGGGTTTTTGGAAGGTAAAAACGTGAGAGCACTATGATTATAAGTGGGAGAGAGAGGGAGAGAGAGAAAGTGAGCGCTATACACTCGTTCGTATCACGATGTGTGTACTGTATAAGATATACAGTTTACAATTATTTGTAACGGATACTTTTTATTTGTCAAATAAAAGTTAGTACAAATGCGCTCTTTTTCCTTTCAATCCAATCAAATTAAGTTAAGTGCTGTTTTTGCGTCCTAATTCCATATTATAATATGATAACGTTACAAAAATATCCCTTTTCATTATAATTATAAATAATTATGTATAAAGAACTTTGTGTCAGACATATTCAGAGCTAAATATACAATGAATTTATCAAATGCATTTTGTACTTTTGAAAAAATATAAGAACAACTTCTTCCAATTACTTATCTGAGAATTAGCTGAATGTAATGAATCTTAAATTATAGAGCCTCACGATTGAAGTGTGAAGTGAATATATATATATTTTGCTTTAGTATGATAAATATCGGAGTAATTGCAATTTATTTGAGTGTACAGTCAGATATTAACCATTACATTGAAGTCTTAATATCATTCCATCGAATTTACTTAGGGATATTGGATAAGGAAAATTGAATATGACACGTAGCAATCGAAACGAAAGTAAAGAATGATCGCTGAACAAAGAAATTACAAGCTCGCGTCTTTCTGTAACACATTCAGTCATTCGGTGAATCTCCTGGCATATACTAGCTTTTTTGTTCCAGTTGTATCGTTTTTCGTAAGCATTACGCGGTAGCTTCAATTCTTATTAGAGACATGAAGACACACTGGGATAAAAAATCTAAATTAAAGAATTCGAAACGTGGTAAGAGATATGGATAATATTTAAATATTTACAATTATTTGTTCTATTATTTTTTTTTTTTTTTTTCATACATCAAACGAATCGCGTATATCCGCTACGTGCGATATTGCAGGACATCGTAAATGCTTGACGCACAATATAAAAGGGTACATGAACAGATGGTTTTACGTTTATTGCAAGAACACCAGTCTGCATGGCTTTCGTTATATAACGATGAACGGATCGACAATGATCGAAAGTGCCTTTTGGTCCGTGGTAAGAAAGTTATCGTTGTGATCTCTTTAAAAATCTGAGCGAATACTTAAAGGAAAACGATGGAGAATTTAAAAAAATGTGTTGCGCTCTCGATAGGTCTGCGTATCGTCCATCATATTCTGCGTTATACTCATGCTACGTTTATGGGATAATTATTCCAACAATCCCATAGTGACGACCATCGATGCGACGAATCCGATATGGAACGTGTCCTTTCCGGGCGTTACGATATGCAATAATAATAAAGTTTATCGTCCACACGCCGACATTATCGCGAAAAACTTGTAAGATATATTGCAATCTGTTTTTTTTTTATTTCTCTCTCTTTCTACGAAATCAGTTCAATCAACTTTAGATCAACGGAGCTAAAAAACTTGGTATCTCCTTAAATTTATACAATATCTGCGTGATACAATATATTGCGCGACTTGACAGATATGCGAATGGATTCAGCATAAATGAGAGCGACAAATTTTTTCTTTCCCTCATGAAGCTGATACGGCCTGATAAGATCTTGATTGACAATGTAACTGCGAGTCGATTTCTCGATAGTCTTGGCACGACGGTCGAATCGCTTATGGAGCAGGTGATTATGAAAATAATTATTTTAATTAATTCACATTTAATGCACGATAATATAAAAATCTTTAGAAGTTAATAATAATAATAATAATACTTGTGCATACATAGTTAATGCAGCCTTGCAGCGCGTTATTGGTAAGATGCGCCTGGATTGGACAGATTCGCGATTGCAACAAGATCTTTAAAACGGTCAAATCCAGGGAGGGTTTTTGCTGCGCCTTCAATTCCCACTACAATTTGAACGTCAGGCAAAAGTAATTCTTGCGAATATATCGCAGTTATTCGAGATAATCAGCTATCAAATAATTATTTGTTTGAAATTTCAGCACACTCAATGAACAGACGGATGATCCGCCGGATTTTAACATTAGTTCCGCTGATCTGCCGGGTGTGCGCGAAATTCTGGTAATTGTATTAATTCGGGCGGTCTAGAGTCATACAGATATACAGAGAATATACATTTGATTTGTAGAAAGCGCCGGGCAGTGGTCGTGATATCGGGCTTGCGATTGCTTTAAATGTTGAGCGTAATATGTACAAGGCTACCACGCGCCCTTTCGTAGGGGCCTCTGTTATGATACACGACCCAATTGATTTCCCCGACATTGGTGCACACACGGCATCCGTCTTACCTGGTCACGTTTTGGCTATATCCGTCACCAGTACTTCCATCAAAAGCATGGAAAGTTTACGATATCTTCCTACAAACAAACGTCTGTGCTTTTTCGACGAAGAGGTAAATAAATCCGACTTTGGTCCTATCACATTACAGGAATATTTATGACACGCGATATTTAAAATTTCACGTATTTATAATGGATACCTGTATCTATGCGCAGACACCGGGCGAAACTCGTTACAGTTTTCAATCGTGCATATCAGAATGCATAGCGAAAAATATACAGCGACTATGCGGCTGCTTGCCGTTTTATTATCCGGAGATGCGTGAGTCTCTGCACGCGAGATTATAAGCGTTTAAATATCAGATTATCTTTATATAACAGATCAGTTATTAATATATATATATATATATTTTCTTAACTATAGTTTTTAATGTTACATTTAATAGAACAAAGTATTTTGCATCCAGATTCTTTAAAGTGATAATTTAGATTTAGAATATTATTTTCAACGTGTTGACAGATGAAGGAGTAAGAACATGTTATCTGCCCGATCTTGATTGCCTTTTGAGTATGCGAAGTATGAAAACGATTTTAAATCATATACATTATATTTTATATATCGTAATCAAACAGTACACACATATAAGATCTATAGAAAATTACTAATTAGTTTTTCAAATTTTAGGATCGTCAGAATACTGGAAGACGGAAACTTGCAAGAAATGTTTACCCCAATGCACCGATATGATGTATCAAATCAATTTAGAAGACGTTAAGATGGACGATGTGAATTTCGATTCCGATATAACGTGAGTCATTCCTCTAATGATGAGAATATTAGCTTTTTCTCTTTCTCATAAATTATTATTCTTATTTTACAAATAAAAAATATTTATCTCTTTATAGACGTGGCTTGGATATAAACAATATGTCTTTCGTGTATATATTTTTCGGTGATCTGTCATATGTCGAGTATCGTAAAGATAGTATCATCAACTGGGATTCGCTTCTCGGTAAGTTGTGAATCTCTGTAGCATAAAAAAGAAATGAATTGATCTTTGAATTCAATTTTGATATAATTTAATTTAATTTACTCAAATTTAATAAAACCGCGCGCAACATTTATTTCAGCATCCTTCGGCGGTATCTTTGGTCTCTGCCTGGGCGGTTCCGTGATAAGCGTAATAGAATTGGTTTATCTCTTGGCCAGACAATTCTTTACGAGACAGCTTCCTAAGAGACAAGAGCGATCGCGTACAAGTTTGCCGCCGGCATCGGAAATGTTTCTGTCTATTCCCGCGGAAAGGAGAGACGTTCAGTTACAGAAACCACGAAGCCATAAAGAATCGAATGATAAGCTTGTCTCATGGTGTCAACCATCCCTTCATCCACGTGAAACATATTTTGATCAAATCAATTATCACGATTAAGGCTAAGATCGTTGTTCGATCGATAAGGAATAAATGTGCGCGTATTTGTGCGAATATAATTATAATATTTATTATTATTAAAATAAGCAACTTTGTGTGATTATTATATTATTTATTAATACTTTAAATATGACAAAATTTGTAGATGATTAGAAAATCACTGTGTGACGCATTACAATACTATAATATAAATATTTCACACTTAGCTTTGCCTCTCGGTTGTTGATTGAAATAAACCCTCGGTCTCCTCGCGTAGTTCCTCCTTATGTTGCGCTGCGGAAGTAGCATGTGCTTCAAGTGCACAAGGAAGCAGGGGCATAACAAGTAGTAGAGTATAAAATTCGTCGAGCTCGCTAGTGCGTTTAGAAGAGTCGCCCACATACGAAATCTGCGAAAATACGACAAACGGGATGTCGGCGTCGTAAGTAAACCAACGAGAAACTATTTCCATTGTTTACCGGAATACGAGATCGACGAAGGAAAACATTGCCTCCGATGTGCGATACGATGTATATTTTATTGTTTTAACAGAAAAATAATTGTACGATTTTTTGCACGATGATAAATTTTCGATTGGAACCCACTCACCTTTCCATGAAGCTCTCATGGACCTTGGAGAGATCTCCGCCGTAAAGGAGAGACATGGCGCTGCGACGCGATGCCAAATGAGTTGGCAGCTCGCCCACGAGAAACAGGAAAACAATGCCGATCAGCATAATCGTCAGCCGCGCCTGATCCTGACAAACCAATGAGATAAATAATAATAAAGCGCTATTTTTTCTCATAAAAAAATTTTTTAATATTATTATATTTTATTTAAATAAAACTATTTTTTACATAATTATTTTCAGTTTTCATTTGAAATGTGCCCACCATTGAATACAGTACAATACAATTCACGCGATTTTCATTGATATCAATATCTCTTCTGTGAAATTTTAATATAAATTTAATACATAATCAAGAATCTTCAGATAAGAAAATATAAAAGCCGCATGAATTATTTCTTGGAAATATGCAAATCGTTCAATTATCTAAGTAGATAGATTAAACTCGTTCGCGTACAATATTATAATAAATTATAATATAAACATCATCAAACGACGAGAAAGTTTTGATAATTGCTTTCGCAAAAACACGACTCTACGATGTTGTACGGTTTTCCCACAAACTTTTCCAATTACCCGCGACAATAATGACTCGCGCGGGACTCTGTTTCCGGATACCACTTGGTTTCCCAATGAGTTTCATGCAAATCGTGTCCTGAGACATGCTTTTACCTGGAGGAACACAACCGCTCGCTTAGATACTCGAAAGTAAAATAGATTTTCAAGTAGTCTAGTAGAGCGATTTGTGATTCCGGTTTCTAAAGTTTGGAATCGGAATACTTCGTCCGGACACGAAGGCGCCTTTTTAGCATAGATCAAACTAATTACGATATTATTTCGATGGTCTTTTTGTTATTTTCCCCATATATGGACAGTAAATATTTTTGCGAATTTTCGCTCACGTTTACGCACCCGCAAATGATTTCCCTCACGTATGTTTTTGCGTTTCAGCAACAGCTCTCTCTGCTTGAAGACCTTTTTCACGGAGTAGCACATGATGCCGTTCGCGACGAATAAAAAAACGGCCGGTATCAAGCCGAATATTATAAACTGTAGCCAATTCTGAAGATTGAACCACCTGCAAAGACCATCCGAATGTAATTTTGCCATCCGAAATTGAACTCGTGCAAAGAAATATCGTCGCGTTTTTGTGAAAAATGGAGAGAAAATTTTCAAATAACTTCACATATTTCTGGATATGAGAATATTTTGAGAAAAAAACTTTTTTCACGATTTACGACACGGTTTCTTTTTACTTACCACGAATGAAAAAAGCTAGTCGTTACCAGATCACCGCGATTGTTATACGTGTACATGAAGCAATATGGTATGTTGATCAAAATAGCGAAGCAACTGGCGAATATCATCAACTTGCGTGCAACTTGTTGGCTGCAGAATTTCGGTGGTTTGCATCTCGGCATGCTGCGTGAATCAAATTTCTCGTTAGAGATTTTGACGTATATATTTGAAAAAAACCTTTTACGCTTCCTCTCATCAATAAAATTCGTATATTAAATATAAATATTTACCTGCAAATTTACACACGAAAGAATTTATATATTTTTATGTTTTTACCTACAAACTATTATTAATCTATCCACGCTCACGCCTGATGCGGCCCAGACTGTGATATTTGAGGTAACGGAGCCGATCGGAAAGTGAACGAATGCGTCGAATTCTAGCCATCCTTTGTGACATTGAAAAATGCCTCGGGCTAGAGCGGAAAAGAGGACCAGGATACAAGTGACTAAATCCGAAGATGCCAACACTATGATATAAAATTTAAAAAAAATAAAAATAAGAGACAAACAGAATTATATAAAATTTATAATATTTAAAATATTTAAAATATAATCATATGCGTAGCGAAAAAAGATACGAGAAACAATTATTCTTTTTCTTAAGTTTTTCCTTTTATTGAACCACGCAATTATCATCGCGAATGATTATGATCATTCTCTCGGAACGCATAATAATAACGAGACGAGGTGCGGGTGAAATTTCGCGATTATGCACGCAATCGGTTTTGCTGATCCGATATCTACCGACCTGCTAAATACGTGTACGTCGACGCTTTCAAGTACGTCTTCGCTTTCAAGTGGACCCCGAGAATCAGCGAGTTTCCGATTATTCCAAGTCCGGAGATAATGGGAATAATCACGGTGTATCCAATAATAATCCAGATACTCGGTTCGACTGTCCATAGTCCTTGATGCTGTATATGCTTGCTGGGGTATCTCAGAGATTTTGATCTGGAATCAATGTCGTTAGTGTCGGCACATAGAACGCATCGCCGATCTCGCTCTACATCATATATAGTATATAGCATTGTCTCTCTCTCTCTCTTTCCTTCTCCCTCACCGTCTGCATAGTACGGTCATATTGTATATCTCGGTGATGTTGAAGTATGTGGATCTCATCGCACCACTTGCCTCGTATTGGTGCACTCGGGACGAGAGATCTTCTCGACCCATTTTCTTCGTCCGAGAAACTTTCGCAAAGGAAGAACTTTACTCCATTGTCGTGATATATCGGATGACAGAGTGTTCTACTAAGCTGGTAAAAAGACGTAGCATTAGGCTCTAGTTTTAGCTCCCGCGAGTCATCAGCTGAATCGAAGCCTAATGAACGTCGGAGCTAGAATTATGAAGAGATGGTTGAATCAGAAACTTACGGGAACTTACCCGATTAGCCGTCGTGACATCGAACAGCGAGATGATTCGTACGCAAAATGCTATTTGGTTGCATCTACTCTCCAATAAATAAACAGAAATGTTTTTTTAATAATCTTCAACCTTAAATTTTAATAAAAACGTATTATACATATATAATTCATTTTTCATGGAGAAACAAATGGGTAACAATTACAATTTATTAACTTACCAATTTATTAACTTAACTTATGTAACTGAATCACAGCTTTTCCAAAAGGCTTTTAAATGGATCCCGGTAGGCGAGATATTCGCATCGCAAATGTAATTTCCGTCTTAAAATGTTATCAATATTTGTGAAGCGAAAAATGTGAATAAAAGGTCATGTACTTCTAAAGCTTTTGCGTGCGTGCAAAAGCTTTTAAATGTTTCAACAAACTATGTCTGTCATTCAATATTTCGTATATTATTTTTATTTGTGAATTAAACGTATATTTGTTTTATTAACACGCGCATCATACTGCAAATATAATCCAGATCGAATCTGTCTATTTCTCTCTCTTTCTAATATCCTGAAAATTGACTTGAACTTGAAACAATGTTTCGGTATCACGATTTCGCTTAACACAGATCTGACAAACAGCGATAACTCTCGTTACGACAAACGAAAAACATCTTTGAAAGTCATTGGCCGCATACACGTACAATATTAATCTATTTATACGAATGATTGAAACGCAAATATTGATAATTTTTCAATCAAATATTGCTTGGAAAATAAATCAATTAGCTCGGTTCGAAAGTTGAATTTTAATGTTTATCGAGAGGTTTGATGCGTCTATCAAAGGATGATCAAGAACGCTGCGAGCGCGACACGCCATAGATATACTGAACATCAACGAAATTCTGTGGCAATAAAAGTTTTCCTATATTTGGAGAGGGGTTTGTTCCCCGATAATCCTGCGATAATGGATACGCAAATAGTGCGTACGTGGAATGATACACATCGTCACGAATATGCGTCGCGATCGATTGAGCATTCGCTGATAAGGGCTGGTCAAGTGACAAATCTCAAATGTGTCTCTTAGAATTTACGGCATCTCAAATCGAGGATTGGCAGCGATATTTTTGTTCGGGACTGGCGCACGCGTTATCGTGTCTTGTTGTTACACGTGGCAACCCTTGGGATTATTCAGCTTTTACTGTACACGCGCCGCATTGCAAAAAGCCTCCTTACGCAATTACAACGGTCGGCTTTGATGTATCCATGGAAACAACCGCGATAACCACTATCGATCGTATATCGGCCACGACCACTTTCAGTCACCCTCGCAACATTAAATTAATGATATCGAAAATTTAGGACATAACATACGCTTTGCAACGTCTCGTCGTGCGAAACGCGGGACGTGATTTTCGATCGCAGAGCCAAAAATCTATCTATGTAACGACGTTGTGTGTGCACTTCTCCTTCCCGACGATAAATAGATGTTTCAATATTATTAATGTCCACGCACGCCCTTTGAAAAAACAAAATTGAATACATTGTCAAACAAATTGAGACTATTCGAATATAACGAGTTTATAACGCTAGATATCTTGAGAAGATTCCGATAATGATACAATATGAGAATGGTTTTTGAATCTATTTAAATCGTTAATAATGACGATAAAAAATCACTATGTCTAGTATTGTTTTCAAATTATTGTATGTAAAATAAAGTAGAGTTTAATATCTCCCTATATAAGAAAAAGAGGAAATAATAAAATGAACATTA